GAACAACAGTCGAGTACATGGGAGTCCAGCGACATAGCCATTATGCTAACTGTTGGTTCCAGAAACATAGTTTTCTTTCATTCACTGTTTTGTTGTTTTACTGTGGAGGCATAAGTGCTCATGAAAGAGAAAGGGAAGGAAATCTGTTATGTATCGGGCATGGACACACTGCAATACTTTTCCCTCCATTTCTGAACCCTTTCAAGATTTTGGGCACTCACACACACACACATGTGCTTTGTCTTTCAAACTGCTGAGACCTAGATTCAAATGACAGAAAGCCAAATGGGATCTGGTGTCCTCTCTACCACAGTCAGTTATATGGGGTCTGGTTCCCTGTGCACTGTGTGTAACCACTGCGCCACGAGACTTTTCCTCATTCTGTGACTTATTATGTGTATCTTCAGACTTTCTTTGTCACCTACAGTTGTTTAGGAATTTCTTATTAGTTTCCCAGTGTTTGGAGAAAGCTGTCTGTTACTTTCCTCATACCAATTTGCTTTGATTCCATTTGGCCTAGGAACATACTCTATGGAATCATTTCTTTTGACTTTGTAGAGGTTCATTCTGTGATTCAAAATTTAGTCTACCTTGGTCTACGTTGTGTGGATTACCTGGAGGATGGTGTGAAGTAGCTTCCAAGTGGAATTACTGCCATTATCTGTTAGACTATACTGGTTGATAACTTAGTTGAGCTCTTCTTTGAAGCTGCCTGTTTTCTGCCTACTTGTCTTATCAGTCGTGGAGCTGGAGTGTTGAAGTCTCCTAATTCATTGTGGTTTTGTCTATTTTTCCCTTCATTTTTATCAGTTTTGCATTCAGGATTGGGCAGTTCTTTGGTACATACACATTTAGAATTGATAATTCTGCAAGAAGGAAGGACCCTTCTGACATATCATGTTACCTCTCACTTTCTGCCAATTTTCTTCCATCAGATACATATTTCTGTTATATTTAAAAATATTCTAATTTCTGGGGCCAGCAGGTGGCATAGTGGTCACAGTGCTGGACTACCAGACATACTTCTGCTTCCATATCTGGTGGGTTGAAACTCACACTGTGCATGTGTGCATGTGTGCCCAAAATCCTGAGACAAGACTTTAGGAGAAGGGACTATGGCAAGACCATTCATCCTTGGGGGAGATTTTTCATGCTTTGTCTGTCTGTCTCTGCAGTGAGCACTTGTCCTATAGCAAAATTCTCTCAAAAGTAAATCTCTTAATTTCTTTTTCCTCTTAAAGTTTGTTTGCCTGTTTGTTCAAAGAAGCAGACAGAGACAAGAGTGAAAGACTGAAAGAGTCATGAAGAAAAGCTCACTCACCAGTGTCTTTAAGCCATGATCCACCCCCTGTCACAGCTTGTCCTGAACAGGGACAGGCACGGGCACACCCAATGTGCACTGAAAGGATCTGGGGTGAACCCAGGACCTTTCCCATCTGGCTCCAATTGGTGATCCATCTATGTTCCCACTTCAGCTTTCTTTTCATTGCTGTTTCCACATTTAACTTTTTTGAACTTTTTACCTTGAACCAGCTGCCATTGGAATATTTGAAGTAGGGTCATTTTGAAAATAGTATTGTTTATTTCACTTTGTATGTTATTATCATTAATATATTTAGGTAATTTTTTCCCATAGATCTCATGTGCTCAGCAGAGAAAAAGAGACAGAAAGTGACAAATAATCCACTAGGGTAGGTGGTCACACTGCAATCCCATGTCCTCCATCCTCATCTTGGGATTTAGCATGTGTGCACACATGTTGAGATAAGTTTCAAGCCCACAGTTCTGGGACTTGATATGCAGTTGACTACGTAGGAGGCCCTCAATGTAACTCATAGCCTTTTGCTTTTCTACATTTTAACTATTATTATTTATTTCTTTTGGAGGTTTTTTTTTTCTCCTGTAGAGCACATGTGCTCGCCAGAAAGACAGAGAGAGTCACAGAGAAAGAAAGCAAAATACACCCTCCAGGTGGGATGGCCAGACAACAATCCTTTCTCCTCCCATCTTCTCTAGGGGTCTAGGGAAAACACACACACACACACACACACACACACACACACACACACACACGCCCAGCATGAGTTTAAACCACCGGGACTATAACTCAAACAGTGGCCAACTACATGAGAGTCAAGCAAAATACACATAACTCCAACTGATGGTCCCTATCATAACTATTTTTTAAATTTGCTACAGAACATCTTGTCTCATTAATGAAAGAAAGAAAGAGAGAGAGACAGAGAAAACAAAGTAAGTCTAGGTATAGGACTTGAACCAGGTTCAGCCATTGGGAGTCAAGTGTCTCAACAACCACATCACCTACTGGACCCTGAAGTAAGGTTCTGGCAGACAGCCTGTGATTCCATCACAGTTTGTTAATTTACTTAGTCATCTGTCTCCTACTGATCATTTCTTTGTTCATGTACAATTTCCAGAGAACCTGTGCACTCACTGGAGTGAGACAAGAAACAGAGAGAGGAATGGTTGAAACAACCCCTGATCAGACGTGGTGATGGGGTGATCCCTTATTTTCCATTTCATCATCTGGTTGGGATTTTGGTCTTGCATGATCCATGCCTGGCATATTTTACAAGCTGCCTTTACCTGAATTCAAACTGTAGTCAACCATGTGGGATATGGCTTCCTGAATGTCTTGGCATGGGACCACCTTCATTGCCATGTTGATATTGAATATAATGATTAACAAATCGAGGCTTGGATTAGTGTTCCATGGCTGCCATAGCAAGAACAATGGCTCAAAACACAGAAAGTTATTCCCTCATAGTCCTAGAGGTCAAGAGATTAAGATCAAGTGACCTGGGGAAGGTAGAATGCCTCATGAGTTATATATTTGAGGAAAGTTTCCATTGTGGTCAACTGGGACTCAGGCCTCCTGACACCCCCCAGAGAAAAGAGTGGACCATACCCCATGTTTCCTGTAGTAAGGAAGAGCATGTGGACACTCTTCAATCATTTTATTCTCCAAAGAGAAGGTTCAAGGCTTTTTTTTTTTTTCTGATGGGGGAGATCAGAGTGATCAGCAGGCCAGTACATGGCACATCATAAATGTGACTCTTTGTAAAACAGACCCACAGGGTGGTTTTCAGCTTATGATAGAGACACCCCTTACTTTGCAGCTGACTCATGCCCCACAACCCAGGCAGGCTGAGGTGAGAGATGAGAGATGTTGCCTGGTGTCAGGCACTCAGCAGTTACAGTCTCCATGTTTCTGGCTTCTATTCATGAAATTAATGAACTTTTAACATCATGTGCTGACCAGTATGTCCTTCAGGAGTCAGACTCTGTCACTCCAGGGACCCAGAGCTCAGGGCTACACAGCATGGGCTTGTGCCAGCCAGTGGCCAGACCTGACCCTACTTCCACTCTGTAGGAAGGTGGAGAGGCAACCAGTGTTCCAGGCCTTCTCTGTGCTATGCCGCACACCTTGTCTCAGCAGACCCTTATGGTGCTCCAAACCCTAGTCACTGCCTGTCCCTAGGTGGAGATGTTCCCTCCAAGCTTCCAGGGATATGTTCTCAGGTCCATCCTTTCTGAGCATACGTTCAATAGCACATGACCTGGGGCCAGGCTCTCCCACATCTGCCATAACCTCCAGTAAGCACCTCTGTGAGCCAACGGGGACTGCATTCTGTACGTGTCATCCTCTGGTAGCTTCACTGAATTCATCAGAGTGAACAAAACCCCTTCCCTGCTTCTCGGATCTGACCCAGATGTGCAATTGGAGTGGTGTGGTCTGTGCCCAGTACTCGCGGCCACTAGTCAG